TTACTACAGTGTTTTTGAAATTGTTTACTGGAGTTTTCTTTGCTGTCAGAGCAGCAAATGTCTTCTGGCAGAATGTTTTATGGCCTGTTACTGTGGCATGTTTTGTCAGCAGCAAAGTGATTATGAGACTTTGTACTGACAGGGAAGAAAAATCCAAAGGGCGTTGAAATAATGCAGTGAATTTAACTGGCATATTTAAAGGAGTGTATGTGGGAAGAAGAGAAAGAGAAGCCAGTGGATGGAGAAAACACTATTAATATGCAATCCATGCTGGCCTGAAAACCTAAAAGAGGTGTCTCCTTGCATTTGGAAAGTCTTTGATCACCTCTGAGTGTACTTGACCTGTTAATCAGGATGCTGAGTATTAAATAGACTGTCCCCTTTCTGTTCCAGGAGCTGTTTGTTTGTTGTCCTGCACATAGCCTTGCAGGCTGCAGTGTTTGGGGAATACACCTGGGAAGTGTTTGGGTACTGCTGGGAGCTGCAATTCCACCTCCTCCTCCTCCTCCTGCCCTACCTGCTGCTGGCTGGGAACATGGGCTGCTTCCTGCTCTGCTCCCGGGCCAATCCTGGTAAGCTCATGCTCGTGCTGGAGCTGTTTGAAAACCAACCTTGGAAATTCTATGAAATTTCACTGTTTTCCTTGTTTCTTTGGCAGGTATAATAACAAAATCCAACCATGCATCCCTGGTTAAGGTTTATGCTTATGATGGTGTGATGTTCCAGAGAGGCACCGTGTGCCCCACGTGCACCCTGGAGAAGCCAGCCAGGTCCAAGCACTGCAGTAAGGGCCTGAGCTTCCCTGAGAAGTGATCCTTTCCCAAAGGAATCCTGCACCAGGAGCTGCAGTTCACACTACAGCTGTTCTGTGATGAGCTCAGTGCACACAGGGCTGTGCTTGTTTTCCTGGGGTCCCAGCTCACAGCTGCATTTGCCCAGCCCTGGAGCTGCTTTGTTGCTGTTTCTTCTCACAGAAATTACCAGTTCTGATGGTCTAATTCAGGGTCAGGAACAGCCAAGTTTTTGAGCAGCTGGAAGTTAAATGACAAATTATCACCTGTCAAGACATAAGTTCAGGATTTTGTGTTTCACAGAATCGTAGAATCCTGGGATGGTGTGGGTTGGAAAGACTTTAAAGACCATCTTGTTCCAACCCCCTGCCATGGGGAGGGACACCTTCCACTATCCCAGGTTGCTCCAAGTCCCATCCAACTTGGCCTTGGACACTTCCAGGGAGGAGGAGTCCACCACCTCCTTTTCACCCAGAGTTTGCTGTTATCTAAAATAGAGGTGGGAGCTACAATCTCTACCTTTCAGGTGCTTTGCTGTGCAGTTCTGTCAGGGAAACCAAAGCCTTGGAGCTGTGGCCTCGGTGAATAAAAGAGGAGAGGGGGACACGTGATTTTTCTTATGATGTGTATCTGTAACTGATTTCTGTGGCTCAGAAGCCGTCAGCTAAATCCCGACCGTCATCCTCACGTATTTTCGGGTTGAAAGCTATCCCAGGGTGTGTAAAAATCAAACTGGTTCCTTGGCAGCCCCGTGACCAGGCTGCTGTGGTGTCCCTGCCCCAGGTGTGTGTGGGACGTGCGTGCATCGCTTCGACCACCACTGTGTGTGGCTCAACAACTGCGTGGGGGCCTCCAACGCCGCCTGGTTCCTGCTCTACCTGCTGTCCCTGACGGCCACGGCCGCTGCCCTCGCTGCCATCACCCTGTCCTTCCTCAGCCACGTGGTGCAGCTCTCCAACCTCCTGCACAGCACTTACCTGGATGCCCAGGGCCAGGAGCACCCCGTGGAGATTCCCTTCCTCGTCCAGGTGAGTTGGCACTATGGAAAGTTTGGCCTCGCTCTTTGCTGTCAGGAATCTTTCCCCGCTCCCTGCAGGCTGTTCCCATCCTGGGAGTTTTAGCAGCTTTGCACAGCTGATTAGGTTTGGAAAGCTGCCGTGGCAGAACACCTGAAAAATGGGGGATTTTTCTCACGGCACTTCCTTGTGCTCTCCCGTTCTTTGGATTTCTATCTCCAGTATCTGTCACTCAGCAGACCTGGTTCACAGAGAATGAATTTACATTCCATGGCCTCCTACTGCAGGAACATTTAGGAAACAGCTGGCAATCCTTGACATCCTCAGGGAGATGTTAAAGCAGGACCCATTACCCTGGAATTTAGATACTGGGAATATTTTCTCTCACATGCAAGCAGAGGGTGACTGTGAGTCTCTCTAGCACTTGAGTGATTTTTATCTCAGTCCCCTCGTCCCTGTAGTGTGGCAGTGAGGTGATAAGTACCAAGTGCTTTATCTTTTCCTCATCCTAGACAGCAGATGTTTCAGCCTTGGACTCTTCCAAAAGGATCCTGGTCAGGAAGTGTTTGAGCAATGCCATTACCACTCCCCAGGAGTGGGACTTGACTCAGAAAAGAGCTGCTTAAACTGTATCATGTCAGCAAAACCCAAAGTTGTACCAGATTGTTGCCCCTTCATTTGGCAGTTTGTTTTCAGATGGTTTGTGTTAATGTTTTACAAAGTAAAACAACAACAAAAACAAACAAGCAAAACTCCAAACACAAACAGTTGGAAATAGATGGGTGTAGAAAATCCTCCCACATATTAGCAAGGCTTGGGAGAAAATACATGCCTGGAACTCTGCATGCTCTGCTCAGAGGTTCAAGTAGAACCATGGAATTGTTAAGGGTGGAAAACACCTTTAAGATCATCAAGTCCAACCATCAAGCAGCACCTCAGCTCTGTTCACCACTAACCCATGTCCCCAGGTGCCACATCCACATGGTTTTTGGACACTTCCAGGGATGGGGACTCCCCCTCTGCCCTGGGCAGCTGTGACAATGCTTTGCAACCTTTTCTGCGAAGAAATTTTCCCTAATATCCAACCTAAACCTCTCCTGGTGCAACTTGAGGCCGTTTCTTGAGGAATGGAGCCTTGCTGAGCTGGGTGGGGGTCGGGGCTGGGACCTTGTTCCTGGGGCTCCCCCACAGCTCCATGTGCACATGGATGTTCATTCCAGCTGGGGTTTTACAGTGGCCATGTGATTTAATCCTCCAGTTTTTTTAACTGAGTTATTTCTCTCTTTCCTTGCAGCACCTTTTCTTGACTTTCCCTAGGATTGTCTTCATGCTGGGGTTTGTTATCCTGCTCACACTCGTCCTGGGTGGATACAGTGCTTTCAGTCTGTACTTGGCCTTCACCAACCAAACCACCAACGAATGGTGTAAATCCAGAAGATTTGGGGCGTCCCACCATGTCTCATCACAGCCCCCTGACAGACAAGTTGTCTACAAAAACATTTATTCTAAAGGAATCTGGAGGAATTTAAAGGAAATCTTTAGGCCTCCTACAGCATTGGAAAGGAAGAAGAAAACATGAAGATATTTGTGCATCTTTAAACTTTTTTGGTAAGATTTTTATTCCAGCAGTGGGTTTGGATGCCCCAAACAGCTTTTGGACCAAGATTACTGCAGAACTCGGGTTGATGGTGCCCCAGCAGAGCAAGGTTAAGATCCCTCCCTCTGTGAGGTTTCTGAGGTTCAGCTCAGTCCTGTCTGCAGGATACAGGGACCAGTAGGAATTTCCTGGGATGGAGAGGCTGGTTTGGTCCATCTTCCTGCAGTGAATGTTTCTCTCTGGGGAGGGCCAACACAGAGCTGCTGTGAATTCTGAGGAAGCTTTTGTGAGTATCTTTGTGTGGGAAATGATTAACCCATTACTGTAACAGTACAACAGGCTGTATGTATTTAACTGGAAAAAAGATGGTTATTGACAGGATCTTAACCTAGAGAGACCATGTTCTGCTGCAGATTTTGTACTAATGTGGAGCACCTTAATTTCAGGAAGGACATTAAAGTGCTGCATCTCTTTACCTGTCTCTTCCTTGATCCCTGTTTTCAGCTCCTTCACAATGAGATGCCATTTCAGCCTGAAAATTGTGAAAATGGGAAAGTCTGGACTGAATCCTCATACCCATCTCTGGACAGAGAAGGGTATCACAGGTTTGATACCGAGCTCTGGACATACAGATTCCAGACTTAATCCTTCTGGCATTTCCCATCTTTATTCCATTGTTTGATTTTAGGCATTTCTCTGTATTTTGGGCACTTTGCTGCCAGGGAAGTTGCAGTTTCCAGGGCTGCCCCCCTGCAGTCACTGACCAGGCCACATCAAAGCACAGCAGTGACTAGTCCCCCACTTCTTAAGCATGATATAAATGCCCCCATGTCTTTCTCCTTCCAGAAATTCTTCTGTTTGTGTGATAATAGAGCAGAAATTAGAAAAAATAATATAGTAAGAACTTTAAATAATTTTATTTTCAAAAATGTATTTATTTACATGCTGAATCTGTACAATATGCAATTAAAAATCCATATATGGTTTAAAAAAACCCCAAATTCCTATACAATATGGCTTTCCAGCCCCCAGACTGGCTCTCAGAGCAGCCTGGCTGGCATTGCAGGGTACAAGGATGCATTCAGAGACCAGTACGTAAGGCTACTTGTCCAGGATATCAAATAAAAGAGAAATACTGCAGTACCATGCCTTGGGAGGCCTGAAGGAGTGAGGTTAAAGGCATGAGAGTGTTTGAGTGGTGCTCAACACACCCCACAATTCCTTAGGTTTGGTTTTCTCCACTTGTTTTAAATGCATATGATTAAATAGTCTCTTGTGAGACCCCACACTTTCTGAATCCTTCTAAAAACCAGACCGCTGCTGTCCTGGGGGCAGAGGGAACTGATTCCCAAAGGATCCTCCTTAATTTGAGGCTGCTGTACCCAGCAGTGAGCGTCCCCTGTGGCCTGTCAGTCCCTTCCCCGTGCGACCATGCAGAGGGTTTATCCCCTGGTGCTTGTTTTAAACTGGGAGCACCTCGGGCCCATCCCACCCTGTCCCAGGCCTGTCCCATCCCGCCAGGCCCCCTCCCTCCAGCGCGTTCTCTCGCCGGGGGCAGGTCAGGGCTGCCCCGGGCCGGGCCCCCCAGCCGGCTCTCCGTGCCCTACACGATGACAGTCTGCACCTCCAGCTCCCCCTCCTGCGCGGCGATGACGAACTCGCCCGCGTGCTCCATGATCTCGATGTCCTCGGACGCCACCATGGTCACCGTGGCCTCCTGGGCGGCGACGGCGCCGTCGGCGGCGAGCACGGCCCCGTCCCCGATGGCCGAGGCCAGGGTCATGGCCACCTGCTCCGTCAGGCTCTCGGGGGTGGCGATGGTGATGGTGTCGGCGGCGTCCGCGGCGGCGCCCGCGCCCTCGGCCACGGTGACGTTCTGCACGATGATCTGGTGGCCCGAGCTCGCCTGGTTCACGATCTGCTGCACCACCTTCATGATGTGGCTGTCCACCTGCGCGGGAGCAGAGGCAGAGGCCGGCTGTGTTCACCGGGAGCAGCGAGGGTTGGTGCACAGCCAGCCAGCCTCCTCCTGCTGGGAGTTCTCATCACCCCAGCACTCTGCAACCCCTCACCCTCACGGCACTGAAGGTGGGTCACTAGTAAAGTGCTTCCTACAGAAAGTCAAACTGCTGTTTGTAGAAAAGCCTCAACAGTCCACACCCAAACTTTTAAACTGACGGAATCAATTCAGGAGCTGAGCCGGGTCTGACTCTGCAGCAGCCCTTGTTTCCAGCATTCAGGAATGCCTTCGAGGATCACTTCCCCAAGGGTAGTTACTGTACAATTTACCCAGCCTGCAGCTCTGCTCTTGTGTCTGAAGCCCCTGAGTCACCATCCCTGAGAGGGTCTGGGGTTATCAAACCCACAATAAGCCACATTGTGTTTTCAGGTCTGCAGAGCTACAGCCGTGGAGTCAGAGAATCCCAGACTGGTTTGGGGTGGAAGGGAACTTTAAGCCCATCTCATTCCACCCCCTGCCATGGGCAGGGACACCTTCCACTAGACCAGGTTGCTCCAAGCCCTGTCCAACCTGGCCTTGGACACTTCCAGGGATCCAGGGGCAGCCACAGCTTCTCTGGGCAACCTGTGCCAGGGCCTCCCCACCCTCACAGGGAAGGATTTCTCCCCAGTATGCCATCCAGCTCTGCCCTCTGGCAGTGGGAAACCATTCCCCCTTTTCCTGTCACTCCAGGCCCTTGTCCAAAGTCCTCCTCCAGCTCTCTTCCAGGTAGGGTTTACTTAACATGACAACCACTAAAAGTGACTCCTTTCATCTACATCAAGGTCCCAAAATCACAGTTTGTGTGGCTGCTTTACCTCATGTCTTGTTCCCTCTATTATTTCAGTAGCTTCACTGGTCTCCATGTCTTCAGTAGAAGTCTTGAAAGACAAAATGAGAGGATTCCCTTTTTAGGTTGTTCCAAAAAAATCCTTTGTTACCAAAATATAATTCACTAAGATTTTTCACACAAGTCTTTCTGTCCCCCCCATGATGGAGTAGCTACTCCAAGGAGACCTCCAGGACATTCCCTCCAAATCCCATTATCAGGAGCTACTTAAAATTAATGCAAAATGTTCACAAATAACTGGAAGAGAACCTCCTCTCTCAGCAGGATTTGGCCAAGCAGCAAATTTTTCTCCCATTGGAGAAAAACTATGGCAGCACTAAAGGAACTCAATAACTGAGCTCTGTTATCCTGCTTGGATAAGAACTGGCTCTGTGTCATGAAGAGGGAGAAAGTGAAATACATAATTCATTGCTTTTGGCAGCCTCTGTTAGAAACAACAGAGACTATCTGGGACAAAACAAGCTAAATAGAAATGGGAGAAGAGAATAGGGAAAGCTGAAGTGAGTTTGTGAGGCCATAAAATCCAGTGTGTCAGAAGTTTCCTGACTCAGCCTCCTGCTGAGGCACTGTCAGCCTGCCCTGTGTTCTGCTCTTCCTGCCCACATCACACACAGCACCTCTGGAGGGTGAGGAAAGCTCCAAGTGCTTTCCTTCCAAAGCAGGTTAATCCTACTGACTCCCAGGGCCCTGCAGGCAGGGGTGGTCCTGTTCTACCTTCTCCTGAGAGCCCGGAGGAGGAACACATACAGCTGCAGTTTTCCTGAGCAAATCCTGTGCTAAATTCCGCAGGAGCAGCCGTTTGCCCCCTCTCACCTCGATGATGTACTCCTGAGTGTCGGCCACCACCGAGGAGAACTCCACCAGCACAGTGTGGGGATCCTCCGAGAGCACCGTGGCCGCCAAGTTGTCGGCTGACTGACTCTCCTCAGACACCATCACTTCTTCCACCTCTTTCATAGCAACGAGGCAACCACCTGGAAAATTCCCAAAGTGCCAGAAAAACATCACTTTTCATGGCCATCTCAGATAGTACCTGGAAGGTGCTACACAGCACCAATGAGGCCTCTTCATGGGATGCCACAGACAAGTAACCAGTGTCACACAAGAGACTCTCAGCACACCAGGCCAAGAAACAGCCTAGGAAAGCCCTGTGTGACACCAGGCAGCTGAGCCTCAAGCAGAGCAGCTCTCCAGTGCAATACCAAAAAATACACAGCTAAATTCAGATGATAAAACCACACAGGATTTCAAAAGCTGTCTGTAAAGAACCTGCAGGAAGAGTCTGGGTATATTTTAAGTCACTGCTCTTTTCTGCTGATGCATTTCAGTATCTCCTAGGAAACTTCCTTTTCCCCTCAAGTAAACTTGTATTGTTCCTTGAAAACTAAATACACTGTCAGCACTACCTGAAGGAGTCTGGAAATCCGTGCTTAGGAGCTAAAGGAGCAGCAGGTCCAGTGCAACTAATCCCATCAAACGAGATTATCTGTGAGAACTTTACTCAAGACATTTTCCCCACAGAACTCATAGGCCCCCTCAGATACTGGAAGGACTGTTGGGACCCCTCCACACAACCTTCTCCAGGCTGATGTGACCATCTCCAGGCACCTCCTGATGCACGCACGGACACAGGGCACACCCACCCCAAGGATCATTCCCTCTCAGCCAAAGAGCAGCTTGTCCAAAGCCCAGCCCCGGAGCTCACCTTTGGTGCGGAGGTGCCTGTTGAGCGTCCCGTGCTCGGCGAAGCCGCGCCCGCACTTGTAGCACTTGAAGGGCTTCTCTCCGGTGTGGTGGCGGATGTGGCGCACCAGGGAGCCCTTCTCCCGGAACCCCCGGCTGCAGAACTGGCACACGTACGGCTTGTCCTCCAGGTGCGTGCGGAAATGCACCTGCTGCGCGTTCTGCACACACAGGGAACAAGGGCAGGGCTCCTGAGGGGCACGGCAAACTCACGGGGGAGGGATTTCAGCTGCC